AGAATTTTGGAATAGGGGAAACTTGAAAAGAATTCGTAAAACGATACCGCTTACATTAACAGTTAATATTTAATAATTAAATGTAATTAATGACACATTCCTAAAATATGGACTTCCAAATATGGATTTACTTTCTTGAAATTTGGAAATCCTTTCTTAATGCACATTTCATAACAAAATTAAGTCAAAACTTGAGTCTCTTTAAGGGATTACCTTTAGTTTAAGTTATAAGCATAATACTAATTACTAATATCAATTTTAAAATTAATTTACTTTTAAATGTTATCAAGAGCAAGCGGATCTCAAGATCAATTATTTATTTATGATTCGCTTAAATCTTAAAAAATAGTTTATCAATAAAAAAAATGTCCTTTCCTTGGTATCATTTGTCTTTAGCTCTAGCTTCGGTTTCAATTAAGAATTAGCTTTGTCGAAGGGCATGACCTTACCCCAGAGAGACTGAAAGTCAAATTCATGGAAAAGCAACCCCCTAACCGCAAAACATTTTACCTCCCATTCAACGCCCAGTCCTTAACTATATGAATATCTCCCCTTCTTTGAAGAATAAATGAAGACAAGGACAAGAAGGGGAACACTATCAAAAGTCAATTACAATGCAATTATTGTTTCCCCCTGCCAGTGGAAAAAGAGAAAACATTTTCAAAGCCATTGAAAACTTTAATTGAAAATATCAAATTATTTTCGAGTTAGCGTCAGCATAAAAAAGTCGAAAAACTCGTCTTGAGATCGATGAGGTTTTAAGGAAGACCTGGGATGTATACAGCCAAAAAGATACACTTGTGTGTATACAAACCATTAATTACGTAGCCAGATTGTAGTGTACTGGGGAATGAAAGTTACCGCAGAGTCAAGAGTCAGGCTAAATTGTAATGAGTTGGCATTTTGTGAAACTCCCTGAGACACAGGCGAACCCCACTGAAATATCTCGTTGTAAAGTAGCTGAAATGACATTAAAAAGGCAAAACCAAGCAGAAAGGACATCCACATCCTTATGGACACTAACCAGCCAGAAGGAAGGCGAACACACACACATGGGGTTAGGCCCAAGCTGGGGATAATTCTTCTTCAACCCTCTGCCCATCGTTTCATAGTTTACAATCTTATTATCTTGGCTTGGCATCTCAAGGCCCACACACATTTTCCTAAGGCAATTAAAAATCTTCACACTGTCGTCGATGTCCTTATCCTTTTCCTGCCTTTCCACAGTTTTTGTCTGTTTTGTTATCCCCTTGGCCCAACTTGATATTGTTTATTAAACATATTTTGCATAAAATTCACTTTATTTGCAGTTTATTTCGTAAGAAAATTATAAGGTCTTTCACTCTCCCCTTTTTCGTGTGACACGCTTGATAGTTTTTCCTCTGGGGGGAATTGTGTTTTGGAAGAGGACTAGTGTACCTTATTCTTTGATTATGTTTGATCACGTTCTGTTGGAAAGTTTATTTGCTGGTAAGAGAGGATTGTTTGCCTGGAATTTTAGTAGTTAAAGATGCATTTTTAAGGCTCGATGAAATAAGAAAATATAGTTGGAGGAGTTTGGTAATTAGTGTATTAAGCAAAAAAAGATCTTAAGGTTTATTATTTGAAGAAAACTTTTTTTTAATTTAATATAAATATACATAACAAACCCACAAAGCGATTTCTTGAAGTTTAAGATAAAACAATAACATAATAAGATAATAAGACAAAAGAATACAATTTGTTTTGGTTTAAAAAACGTTTTCAATTTAAAAATATTTTGTAACAATTTCAATATTTTTCCAATTTTATTAAATCACATATAACATTTTTTTCAAGCTTGTCTAAGCAGTAGCAATATTTTTAAGCAAATTAACTCAGAATATGTATTTTCGTAATCCCATCACCACCGTTCATCTCATATTCCCTTTTTGCCACCCCGGCAACAACTTTTCACGCTATTCTTATCTAACACATTCACTTCAACATTTTCCCCCAGCACCCCGAATGCAGTCACACATGAAAATCTCATAAAAATTGACAATAATAAGCCACATATCATCATTTCACTCTCCACACATATGCACAGACGTACGTTCCACTCGATAAGAAGTCAGCAAGGCCTGCAAATCAACCAGAAATCGAAGGCTACTCCGCAGCCAATGCCACCCTTCTTCCGAAACCAAAAGCCGAATGATGAAGAAAATCCCATAAAAAACAGTTCAATGATATAGAAAAATAGATAAAGCTAAATTTGCAAAAATAACAACAAAGGGACTCGAAAAATGATAGGGGAAATGGCAAATGAAAAACGCGTGGCAGCGAATCAACTTTAAACTAAGCCGCACAAGGCACTTGGGAATCTAAAAAAAAAATCGAAGGGCACTTGGATCTTGGTGGTGTTGTCAAGTGAATAATGGGACAAATCCGCAGAGTAAATATGACACGTTGCAAAATGGCATTCGATGATAAAAAAAAATTTCAGGGTTGAGGGCCACACTTGAAAATGTTAACTAAAAATTCGCAAAAAAAAGAAAATTTGCTGGATATGACGCTATGTCAAATTTTGGAGTTGTGAATTGCCAAGTTTAAATAGAGTATATTTTAGTAAACATGATTTTTTCAAAATGAATATATCATAAGTACTGAAAATTCAGGATTTCGATGTAAAAAAATTGAAATAAAAGACCATTATTATAAGAAGCAACAATAAAGCATAGAAAATTATTTAAAATATGTTTTATTTTATATCAAAATTAAAAGCAAAATCACTCCTTTTTGTAAGTGCACGCACTCATAAAAGTCCCACATCTAGAAGATGTTCCTGACAGACGCACATCCTTCGGGAAAGGTGTTTTGACAGGGCGTCAGGGCAAGTCAGAAGTGCAGACACAACAACAGGAATAACAGCAAGCAGGAGCAGTGGCAACAAGGGGTTAATATTTACGCCGCACCCTCACCGTGGCATATCAATAAAAAGATCGCTCCGCTGGGCATACAAAATGTTTGTTTGATAAGCCAGTGTGGAGAAGTCCGTGCACTGAACACATTTATAGGTAAGAAAAAGTGCATTTTTGTTTTAAAACGTTTTATTCAAAAAGTTTTATAATTCCATATTTACCTTAAGTTAACTTTAAAACTTTAATCAAAATGTTGAATTTCATATATTTAAGGTATACAAATTTAAATGTGCTAAGAACATCAAAATTTGTAAGTAAATATATTTATTTCTTCTATTTAAATAATTTTAAAATTTGTAACTTAATAATATAATATTAGATGAAAGATAGTTTCTTTTAGTGTACATTTTACTGGGGGCAGTCTTTTTCCCCACTGAAGTTAATACAAATATTACGCCTTTTTATGCTGAAAGCAAAAAGTGCAAGCCAAATGTGGCATAAACATTACTTTTGGAAAAAGGGTTTAGCCTCACCCACAATTTTCTCACCGCCCCAAGAAGTTATGACTTTGTGTCATTGAATCTTTATGTGTGCATTCGATATGCATTAAAATTCAATAATCATAAAAATAACACACTGAATAAGGGAAAATCCAGCCCCCGACTGTACGACTCCCCCCAATTAACCCTTGAATGGCAGAACGAAAATTGTTTGGCTCTGTCTCTCTGTGGCAATATGAACGTCACATAAATCTTGACAACACTACTACTAAGTCGCTATTAAGTAAAATTGACCACATATTTTATCTCATATGCGCACGCAACGAACGCAGACCAAAAAGGAGGGGTCAGGGTCATTGGGGTGGTGGGCAGTGACTGGCGGTGCTGGACAGCCAGAACAATGTGCGAGTAAATTAAACCAAAGCTAAAAGAAATCACAAATTAAATAAATTTGGGGGAAAAAAACAATTAAAGAGCATACCGGTAATGAAAAAAGTATTAATAATTATATTATTATTTAATTCCCAATTTAAAGCTCAATGCTTTTTAATGCCATACTTCATTGTATTATTATCAAAACTTTAAAATATTCGTAGGTACTAATTGTTTTTCTTTAAAGCTAAAAATTAACAATGTTTTCTGAGTAATGTTCGCTGGGTTGAAACTTTTGAAATGAAATCTCAGAACACAAAATTCCTTGATTTGATTTGAGGCAGGTAAAATAAAATCATTGCATTGTAAGCTATTGTCTTCAACGGTTGTAAAATCTCATTATGTTTTTCTGTACTGTTATTGCTTGGAAATTGGACGGATTTGTAGCAGAGGTTCAAAATGGTGAGCGGATGAGTAAAACTGTTCAGTATACTTGTGTAAAATGCATATTCCTTATTTTAGGTTAAAATTTCTAAACGAATATTAGCAATTTGAAAATTCCCTCCAAACCAGAAAAATGCTGCCCATAAATATTTAAGGTTTTCTTTTCCACAAATCTGGCAGCTCTTTGGAATTTTTAGTATTTTCGTAAAATATATGTAACTTTTAGATCAGGAACACTGCTAATCGATAGTTAGCGGATACATACACCCCAGGTAGCGAAGACATTTTTAGCAGTTCGAGAACATTTAGAGATGGAAAAACATCCATGATGCTCGATGCCTTGCAAATCGATAACAAAGTACCGATGTTTGTTTAGTCGCTAGTTTACCGCACTTTGGTTTCGTTTTTTTCCCGTCAAATCTGGCTTTTTTTAGATATGAATTTCTAGTCAAATTTCAAAGCAGGGGACAGCGGGACTTCTAGTCATTTTTATTTAGTAAGGTCTTTCGTTTTGTTTTGTATATGCATAAAGTATAAGACAACTTGAAATTTCTTTTCTAAAAGCCACCTTTACTTTAAAAACAAAATTTGGTGGAGTTAGTTTTTACAAGAATTATATATTTATTTTCACATTTTTACCTAGGTAAGGTTTAAGGTAACAAAAAATAGATAAGGAAAAAAAGACAAATTTAAAATATCGCTTTTTCTGGCTTGCATTCATCAAACATCTCAGCTTTTTTTTAGTATTCATCCCGTCAAAATGAGTTATTTTTCAATGAAAAGTTGGCAACTCTGACGCCGCACTTCAGTGACGTGTACTCTTCTTTTTAGCAAAATAAAAGCCGCATCGCTCTGTTCTGTACACTTAGTATTGTTAAAGTAGACAAGCCGCGTTGATTAAAAAATTACATCAGATAAACCCAAAGAAATAGACACGTAAGGGGCTCAAAGAAACAACAAAGATGAGGCAACTGGGTAGGTTTGCTAGCAATAAAATAACGAAAATATGTTAATAAAACCTATTTGCAACGCCCCCGCAGCGAGCATATTGTTGCTGGCGTTTGTCGTGGCCAAGACAAATGCTTTCTATTCGCCCACCGATGGCGTGGTGGAGCTGACGCCCTCGAATTTCGACCGGGAGGTACTTAAAGACGACGCCATCTGGATTGTGGAGTTTTATGCACCATGGTGTGGTCACTGCCAAAGCCTTGTACCTGAGTACAAAAAGTTGGCCAAGGCTCTCAAAGGAGTCGTTAAGGTGGGCTCCGTAAATGCCGATGCAGATAGCACGTTGAGTGGCCAGTTTGGTGTACGTGGCTTCCCCACCATCAAGATCTTTGGTGCCAACAAAAAGTCTCCCACGGACTACAGTGGTCAAAGGACCGCGAAGGCCATTGCCGAGGCTGCTTTAGCGGAGGTCAAGAAGAAGGTGCAGAGTGTCCTGGGCGGCGGTGGATCCTCCGGTGGGTCCAGCAGCTCATCCGGCGATGAGGTAATCGAACTCACTGAGGATAACTTTGACAAACTGGTCCTAAACTCTGACGACATCTGGCTGGTGGAGTTCTTTGCCCCCTGGTGTGGTCACTGCAAGAATCTGGCACCCGAATGGGCAAAGGCCGCCAAGGAACTGAAGGGCAAGGTCAAGCTGGGTGCCCTGGATGCTACCGCTCACCAGAGCAAGGCCGCCGAATACAATGTGCGTGGCTATCCCACCATTAAGTTCTTCCCAGCCGGTTCCAAGCGCGCCAGCGATGCCCAGGAGTACGATGGCGGACGCACCGCCTCTGATATTGTGTCGTGGGCCAGCGACAAGCATGTGGCCAATGTACCAGCCCCAGAACTCATTGAGATCACCGACGAGTCCACTTTTGACACTGCCTGCGAGGGCAAGCCTTTGTGCGTGGTCTCCATCCTACCGCACATCCTGGACTGCGATGCTAAGTGCCGCAACAAGTTCTTGGACACACTGCGCACACAGGGCGAGAAGTTCAAGCAGAAACAATGGGGATGGGTCTGGGCAGAAGGTGGCCAGCAGTTGGCCCTGGAGGAGTCCCTCGAAGTGGGAGGTTTCGGCTATCCCGCCATGGCTGTGGTCAACTTCAAGAAGATGAAATTCTCTGTGCTCAAGGGTTCCTTCTCAAAGGACGGCATCAACGAGTTCCTGCGCGACATCTCATACGGACGTGGACACACGGCACCGGTTCGCGGAGCTAAGAAGCCTGCGATTGCGTCCGTTTCGGCATGGGATGGTAAGGATGGACAGCTGCCCACTGAGGAGGACATCGATCTAAGCGACATCGATTTGGATAAGGATGAGCTGTAAGGCTGTGAGGAATGGGAGACCAAGACTGTGTGTGCGGCCCAAGCTCAAAATTCTACTTATTAAACTAACAAACTCTTGCATTCTGAATGATATTCATTAGTCAGCCAACGTATCTAAATATAAATATTTCATAGTTATCTATTAGCTTTTTTTACCATCCTCACATAGATCTTAACAAATTGAAACCAGCGAACATATGAACTATGTACCATAAAATGAATAAACTGTGCAACAAATCATGTAAAATGTGGGCGAGTGTTAATGGGTTTTACGGGTAGTTATTAATTACTTAATTTTCGGGCCATGCAAATAGGCTGGACAATAGGACAATTTTTACTTTTTTAATTTAATTTATTAATATTTATTAGTTTAGTTGTTTTTATTTTTGAATTTAATATTTCATTATACATTTTGTATTTTACCCCCTTTGGGCGATTTTTTAACGATGAATGTTTATGGATTTTTGTTTTTTTATATTCCCCACATCTGGTAAAGTTAATATTCCTGATTAATGTATCGTTAAACAAATCCGCAGGATGACTTACACTTACAATAAACAAATTTCAGTTAAAAATTTATTTTCTTTTCACCATTGCATACGGTGAAATCTTTTATTTTTGTAAAAATTTCTCATATAAAAGTCCAAAACGATTTCATAGTCTTAATATTAGGTAACGTCTAAAAACGTATTTTGACACAATATATAGAAGGATACTTAATTCTGGTCTAAATGCACAAATTGAAAAATGCTTAAACGTATTCGTGGTGGCAGATTGGCGCTTATTCTATGATTGGCATAATATATTTATTAAGTACTTGGTTTCGATTTAAGTACAACCTGTGTGTTTGAAGGGACGGGTCAACCTGAAATGCATGGGAAAATTCGAGGCATTGCAAAGAGTACGTCTGTTAATTCGATTCGATTCTGTATGCAAATTGGGCTCCGAAAAGACGGTATATAAAAAGATTGCCAAATTCCTTGAGATTTCGTAAGAAAGAACAACGCAACGTGACTCAATTGCCACACTTTGGCTTTGTCCAAAAACAGAAAAAAATGGGCGAGGAAGACAAAGCGGTGTGTAAACGGCTAAAACTACCTGTATAAAAAGAAATAAAAAGAGCAAAGATGCAGGAGGGAAAAGGTAAAAAGGGTCGGAGGACAGGCCAAACTTGTTGAGCCTGGGATTAAGAGGAACAACAGATAAAGAAACGGTCGGGGATGCGTAGGAAACCCAATTTACAATTATGAATGATTAATTCCCTTTCCAGGGAACTTCTTAACTGGTTATTGCTATGTAGCCCTTAAGTGCAACTGACAAGTAACATTAAGGTATGAAATGGATTTTAAGGTATTTCTGAAATTCGTAAATATTGTAACCACACCACTTAATGGGCTTGGGCTGGTTGTTTAAGCTACATTTTTTCTGTTCTAATTTGTACCTAATGTCTTGACTCTGTTAAAATTCGACTTTTCTTGAGATTTTATATTTTTCAAATATTATGGGATACGGTAAAAAGAGGACGAAATACGTTTTTGAGTATATACGAAAGATTGTAGCTTATATTAATCAGGTTTCCTATGCAAATTAGTTAATAAAATATCTATTTTGGGGATATTTCTTCTCGGTTTCGTTTTGGACTTAAAATCTGAACCATACTTATGGATTTTCGTTTCTGGCTGGCGTTGAAGTCTTTTTTGAGTTAATATATAGAAGTTAAACTAAACCACGATCCATCGGAAGGTTAGACCTCAAATCAGGCCAACTGATGGTGGTGCTTCTGGTCGGGATAATTCTCTATGGACTGAATGGAGCGCGATGTAGCAGCAGTAATCGTCGAGGACACGTCCATAAACCTATATTTCTTCTCATCGCGGCACAGTAAGGGGTAGCAAATGATGCCGTAATAGAAGATCAGGCAGAGAACGATTACGGTGAAGATAATGGCAATGATGCCAAATGTGGAGATTCCGGGCCGACTGTCCAGATATTCCTTGGGCGTCTGGGGAGGCGTGGGCGTTGTGGGCGGCTCCGTTGTCTTGTAACCCTTTCGATAATTCCGCGCAGCACTCGCACTAAAAACCAAGCAACTGGCGCCTGCAATAACGAGATCGATTTGATTTCTATATCTCTGGTCGCGATTTCCCCATTTTTCTCTCCTCTTTCACTCACCTAAAAACAGCACACACAGCAGGTACGCACTGCGAGACATTTTTTAAGATTTTTTCGAATTTAAGATTGAGCACGAACACGGAGCGAAAACGTTCGCTTGCCTTTCTTTCTTTTTGGCCACGAGAACGGGACGCAGACGCAGAGCAGAGAGTCGAGAATCACACAAAGCAACAAGACAAAAACCAAAACCTTTTACTCTAGCGTAGGTGGTAGAGGTGGTACATTGGTGTATCGATACATTGTAATGGTTGCGATGGCTAGAAGTCGCAACATTTTAAAGAACAGAACAAAAAATGCAATATTAGTTTGGTTAAAATTAAAACAAAAACTTCTAATTATAACCAAATATATTAAATAAACAGTTCCAGCATATAAGATAGGGCTTTCGTTATTTGATTAAAATATAAAAAATACAGATTTTTAAATAATTTTCTGATATTAGGAAATATATTGAATATAAAATCAAATATAAGTTAAAACTTTTTAAACACATTTCAGAAAATGAATTTCATATAACAAGCTTAATTTATTACAAGAGGTGATCAACATAATTTTGGATCCATTTATTTTACAAAGTCGTGACCCTCTTCACACAACCCAACCACCACTCACTCACGCAAGCCGCTAGCCATACAGCCCATCGCTAACCACCATTGCTATCGATAACTCGACGAAAAGTTGATTGACGAGCGTGTGCCCAGTTCGTGTACACTTTATTTTCAATTGGTGAAAATTGTTATAAAACTAGCGAGAAAATATGTGAAAATAAGAAAAAGGCCAATTCGACACTGGAACTGTGCGTGCACAATCGATTTGGTGACGTCCCAATCGCGAAAAGTACCAAAAAATCGTAAAAATAACAAAGGCGTTAGCGAAGGGACGACGGGCCACAGCAATAGACGCTTCTCCGATCATTATAATACAGTTGTGTATATTTAGCCATTGCAACCAATTAATTTGACGCAAGTAAATGCAAGTATAAAATAAAAAAGGCCAACGCAAAGCAAAAGTACAGTGAAAATTGGTCGATTGTCGGCGCACGAAGACGAACACGAATAAGAAGAAGCAACGAAACAAACGAGCAAGAGAAACGAAACGGCGATTTCGCTGTGTGTGCGAGAGTGCGCGCGCGTGTGTGTATGTGTAGGGTGGAATATAAACAAAAAATTAACAATACAAAAATCAAGAACAATTGCTCTACTTGGCGAAAAGTAAAATGTCACATTTGCCACTGGATGCACGGGCTATTCTGCAGTATCTTAATGATTTGGGCTATAGGAATATATCAGCCGAGCAACTCCGTGAATTTCTGAAAGGTAAGCAATCCGTACTAGTGTGTGTGCGTGTGTGATTTTGGTTTGTTGTTTTTTATGCTCAATGTTTTTAAGTTGCGGCTTTTCGGCTGAATTTGAAACGATTCGTCACCATTTTTTTTTTTTCCTCAACAACGAACGTGCATGCAAAAGGCAGACGAGAGAAAGAGCAGCGGCACTGCCAGAAATACGGTGCAATGGAAAAATAGAAAAAATAAAAACGAGTATTACTCGGATATTGTGAATAACACAAGGCGTAGAAATGTACACACACATGGCACAGTGGTTGCAGCAGCAACCAAAGACATTCGGACTACAAATTTAGGAATAAACGAATAAAGACCGGCAACGAAGAAAAACGACATTTCCAAAGCGTTCGTACTATGGAATATATCACTCTAAGCAAAGATCCTAAACACATGGCTTTAATAGGGCCCACTGTACAGTATTTTTGGTGTTTTGTTTGTTGTCATAGTTGTTGTTGCTGCCCTGGGCCAGCTTTTATGCATGTGTACGTGCTTGTGTATTTTGGCCTCCACCGCATTGTCAGCTTCATCCGCGACTTCACATGAATTTTTTTCCACTAACATAACATACAGCTGCGGGCATAATAGTAGGCAATTTTTTATGTATTTCGATTGAATTCAATAAAAAAAAATAGTATTATAATCTTAAATTTTTTTTAATTAGAAGCAAAAACTAGAGTATAAAAAAGGGAATTTCTATTTTCTTAAATTATCAGTGCTATTACTTTTACTCCAACTGTTCGCATGAATGTTGTGTGTGTGTTTGTTTGTTGTCTACCTTTTTCCCTGTCTCCTCTCTCTGACTCTCTTTGCGTTTTGTGCGTTTTTTTTGTGTGTTATTTTTGCCTTCGCTTTGTGTGCTCGTCCTCTTTTTCTTATTTTTCTTTGTTGTTGTTGCCGCTGCTGCCGCTTGAGGGTTGCCACTTGGTTCTCTGGCGTTTTACTTTGCGCCAACGCTTCGTGTTGTAATAGCGAATAAAAAGTGGGGGGGCAGCAAAAGTGCCAGCGCAGCGTGCCGATGTGCTCGTTTTTCAGGTTATATTAACGCCCGTCGGTATATATTGAATGTTGGGCAGATAATTTATTTTCCAGTGGGTGAGTGCTGTGCGCGGGAGGGGAATTGCAAGGTTGCCGGACTAATTACAAATTTGAGTTTAATATCGGTCATCGGTCATTATGCCTTTGCCAGTTCATTCGCATTGTTTATTGGTAGACGCACAAAAACCGAAACAAAAAATATGAATGCGATGAACAACAAACTGAGCAACGAAATAAAGATAGCAAAATAAGAGATATATAATTAAATATAAATAACTTCTGCTTACAATATCTAGATGTGTATGCGGAAATTATAATAATAATAAAAAACAAAAACTTTTCGCCAAAACAAACAAAGAAGTTATGAAATAGTGATATAAATTATCAATATTAACTGGAAGATAGTCTTTTAAAACATATGGAGGTGGTTTTCCCTTAAGTGTTTTCTCAACTGTTTCTACTTTATTTAATTCCTTGCATATCGTCTTTTCGGGTCTTTTTGCGCCATTCCCAAATAAGATTAAAAACAAAAACAGGTTTGAAATCGGCCAAGTAAAATATAACAGATGTGTCATCACTAGTTTTTCGTCGCGCTGGCAACACCTGGTCTACCTGGCAACCCTCTGTCGCAGCACAGCTGCTGCTTCTTCTTCTTCCACCCGCTTGGGTTGTGTTTCGGTGGTCCCATTTTAATTTGGAATTAAAATAAATTAACTCACACTCAACAGTCGATGGGCTTTTAAGCTATACATACCGAAATGCATTCGAATGCAGTTATTGATTCGATTTGTGTGTATCCAAATGCAAAATTGCATAACACACGACGCCCACAAGGAGCTACAAGAAGAAGAATCATCAGGAGAAGGATTTCCAGGCAGTGATTTATTTGTTTTTAGTTGATTTATTCGTGGCAAATAAGTTTTAAATGCGGTTGGTGTCGGCTTCCTAACTACAGTCAAACTTCCAATACTTAAAATTACATTAAATAGCAGACGAACATTAAAACTGGTATAACTCGACCCACTAGAATTGGAGGGAAAAATATTTCGGCCCATCATTTTCTTCATTGTTTTAAATAAAAATATATATTCAAAGTACAGAAATAATAATCAAAAACAGCATAAAAAAAACCATTTAATTCTAATGTTTAAATACCATATATATTTTTAATTGTACTATTTGTTAAAACAAACTTTTTTTAAATTGTTTGTTGTAAATCATTTTTTTTTTATTTTGCTTAAAATTCACATTAAAATGTACCAAAGATCAAACATCTATCACTTTATCAGTTATTTAAATCCTCTCTTAATTTGCTTAAAGTTGAAACGTTCCCAATTTGTTTTTGAAGTTCGACTGTAGGTTAATCCTTCATGATTAATTTTAATTAATGGTGTTCTATTCAATCTCTTTTTTTCTCTAATTCTGGGTCCTTTGACTGCAGCTAATTTGCGCCAGAAGGTATGCAACCGCAGTCGGACAAACAAAGCGCCAGCAGACTCGCAACAACAACTAGCCACTCAACAGCAGCAACTTCAGCAGCAGGCATTCCTCCAAAAGTAAAGGTCATCAAGAGTAAACGCCCTCTGTGCCACTTTAAGTTCTACCTGGACATCTGCGATCACCAGCTAGCAAAACGCGTTGAGTCTGATATCAAAGCTTTGGGCGGTCATCTTGAGTTCTTTCTGAGCGACAGTATCACACACTTCATCACCGATAAGCCAGAAGTTAGCAGTGGAACACCCAGAACACCAGGCACACCCAGCACACCCAGCACACCAACGAATCACTATCAACAGGATGATGGTTCGGCAAGGAAACCGAATCAAAGGCAATCGAGAGCGGATGCTATACTGAGTCGCGTGCGGAGAAGCACGGTTGGGGCAAACAGCAGCAATAGCACGCCTACGACATCCCTAAAGCGAAGCTATACCGTTTGGCAGACAGATTACGCCCAACGCTTCATCAAGCGCATTCAGACCGAGCTTAAGCAATACCTCGAGGGCAAAAAGGAAGGCGGAGGAACAGGAGGCTCAGCTAGCCCTCATCACATTCAGCTAAAAAAGCAGTATGTGAAAATCGAATCCGTCAAGCGTAACTATAGACCTTACTACCATCTCATCAAGCAGCCAGACGACTGGCCCAAAATAGATTTAAGCAGCGAAGACGGCGCCTTTCGACTACTAACCAAGTCGAAGACGAAGGAAAAGGAGCAGAGCATGACCCGCAAGTCTTTGGGTTCACGCACATCCCAAAAAGAGAAACCAGCAGCAGGTGAAGAGAAGCCACCCCAGCATCCAGCCCTGCAGCAGCTTAAAAAACAATCAGCAATCCCGAATAGTCCGCGATCCAATTGCCGCGAGCCCAAGGATTCGAGTGAGAAACAGGGTGGAGTGTGTGAGATCTGCAAATTGGAGTACGATATCCTGAATATCCATTTGCAGAGCAAAGATCACGAGCAGTTCGCCAAGAATTCTGAGAATTTTCTGGCTCTAGATACACTTATTCGTACTTCGGCGAATGTAAATCGGTTCCTGGAGGAGGAGCCCGAAGAAAGTGAACTGGACATGGATGTGGATGAATCTTTAAGTAATGAGGAGCTGCAGAGTCCCCGCCAGAGGCCATCGCCAGCATTGCGCGAGAAATCAAAGAGAATAACCAAGGGAAAACACTCTTCGGAGAAGTTTCAAGCGTCAGCAGTTGCGTCACCCCAAACGCCTTCACCTGGTGGCAAGAAGGTTTTGGGAAATCTACCCGGTAGTCTTTCGGAGCTGCAGCGCCAGGAGCATCCAACTACAGCTGCGGCAACGCCCACAACGAATTCGGGCCGTAGGAAAACTCTGAATTCGGGTCTATCACCGCCGATAAGAGCCATGTTGCCACCGTCTTCGCTTTATAAAGTTGTGGAAACAAGGGAGGAGTGTGCCACGCCCCCACGAGGACGAGGAAGACCGCCCAATCAGGTGGACTCGCCCTCCCTAATTGTCAAGTTCCAAAAGATCCGGCAAACGGAGTTGCAACGGCTCAATGGGGAGGCGGAGAATTTTATGTTCCCTAGAACAGCGGTAACAACAACGAGGAGCAGCAGTGAATTACCTACGGATGTGGACCGGCAAACCACCTCAGATGTGAGGGGCAGGTACAGCATATCCTCCGCCAGCCTAGACACCAGCACCAGCGAAGCAGAGACGAAGGAATCTTCAGGATTACCCACGTCTAGCATACGTAAGCGGGCCCAGGCGGTGGGAAGGCGGAGAAAAGTAGGAGAAGGAACAGCACCACAGGAGCTACTCCAACGCCAATTGTCCACCGGGAGTAGCAGCAGCAACAGCAACCAGCAGCGCTTTCCGAGCGCCCCCATCCAGCCAGAAGAAGAGCCTCAACCGCAGCCACAGCCGCAGCTTAAGATCAAAATAAAGCAGGAGCAAGTGGTGGCCACCAGGAAAAGCAGTCGCACAGCCACGGCCATTGTGACAGCGGCCACTGCGAGCAGTCATCAGCAGCAGCAGCTAAGGCAGACTACCAGCCGGAAAATGGCCAATAAACTGGAGGATCGGATGGGGGAATCATTAAAGCCCGAGATAAAAATAAGTAAGGAAGTTATTGAAGTACAGGAAGAGTTGGAGGATCTGGAAAACCTCTTGGATGATGATTTGGACGAGGAGGTGGACAGCAGTTTATCCTCTGACAGCGACGAGGATTACATAGCTGCCAGTCAGCGAAGAGCCACGGCAACAAATCGCAAATCAACGGATACTAGAGAACAAAGAGCAGCTAGGCGGCTTTCCAGATTAACTATAAACCGTAGTGCCGGAGAGCTGGAGCTAACCGAAACCAAATCCTCGCCCTCAAGAAGAAGTCGTGGAAAGAGCCAGAAGCCGTCGAGTCCCACGAAAAACAAGGTTAAACAACCGAAGGCAGTACCACCAGCTATAGATTTGTTCTTCGATTGCAGCAAAAGTGAAAGGCTTCAAGAAATGCAGTATACCTTTGAATCGCTTCCTAGTGGAGAGCTTTGGAATCGGGTGTTCTTGCGACAGGATGCTGGAGAAGAGAACTACTACACGTACTACGGAAGCACTAATTATAGAAAACTGCCCTATGAAATGGGTCCCATACCCATGGCCAGAACATTGCCAGCACATAGTTGTGTTATGTGCCGTGAGGTCAACGAGGGAAAGCCGGAAAAGGAGCAGCAGCTGAAGCAGGAGGATCAGAAGCCTGTTCCCAAGAAGGAGGTTAAGAAGGAGGAGGAAGACAAGTCCTCCTCATCCACAACTTTCAAGAACAAGAAGCTGCATCTTCTCCAGCGTTATCAGCAGGAACAAGAACAACTCCAGCAGCTGGAGGGCAATTCCCTAGCCACTGCCATAGCCAAATGTGATAGCAAGGCCAGCACGCCAGAACTGTTAGAAAGGGAGTTTGCCTCGGGTTCTTTGGGAGATCATCGTGTGCAGTTGATAGAGAGAGTGAGAAGCACCTCCAGTTCCAGTTGCAGCAACAGCCAGCGGAGCGGGATTACCTGCAGAAATAAACAGCTGGCACGGATTGCCGAGTTGCCGCCAAGGAAATCCCCTAGAGAACATGCTTCTACACTGGCTTTAGTCAGTTGCATTATAAGGCAGCGTCAGGACTCTCAAAGTAAAACCAACTCCGAAGCAGAAGAGCCACCTCCCCCTGCGGTTGCTCCAAAGCTAAAAACGCCTATGAAACAGGAACCCGTAGCACCTCCATCGCCGCGAACTACTCGTTCCCAAGCTGCGACTCCTATCGAGGAACTTCGCTTTGCCACAGAGATTAGCGAGACGGTCAAGAGGATGAGGCGTGGGCAGAACAAATACGATCATTCCCCGCCAGCACCAGCGCCAAATCCCACACCGGAAACTTCATCACCAGCTAGAAGTCGCCGCTTGACTCCTGCAGCACAAAATCTTGGTCAGAGTTACTCACGCCGTTTGCAGTTCTCAACCAGTCAAAGGGAATCCTCAGCGAGTGCACTATTGGGCAAGCGTAGCAGAAGAGGAAATCCTCCGGTGGCTGGAACAGTGCGTCCAAATCCTCAACAAGCTCCCGGAATGGGTGTCTTTCGAGGAGTTCGAAAATTGCCCAGCAAGAAGGGTCTGCTGGAATACGAAATGGAGCCGTGTGCCCTTAAAGCTCTGGATCAAGCCAGCCAGTATTGTAATCCAGGATTCGTTGCCTGGCAGTTGGATAAATATCTAGAGCTAGCTGGCAAGGAGTATGATCTGGAAGTAGACCAAGTGCCAGTGGAGAAGGAGACTGAAGTAAGAGAGCAAAGGCTTGTCAATACGCCACAGACTCCACCACCCACTGATTGCTTCACCAGCGAGTTTGACCTGTGCGATTTGATCTTGGGGAGCGCAGGGAGTGGTGATGATGAAGAGGATTTAGTCAGAGGAAACCTACCGGGCTGCAGTCGACGGGCTAACAACCTTAATCTATACGCCACCTATTATAGAAAGAAAAAGAGCCTGAAATCCAATCGCACGGGCTGGCCAAAAACTCAGAGAAGGCGCAACGCAGGTGGATTGGGTCGATCCCTGCCAGATGAGCGAATTAATTTCCAGAAAATGGGTCTTGCTGAGCTTCATCCCATAAAGCAAGAACCTATGGAAACGGAGGAGGAGCAGACCACCACCACTACAACCACTACGACATCTGCAACGAGGGAAAAACTGCTAAGCAAAGAAGATGAAGATGATGAAGGTGGCGGCAATCCAGGTAGAGGACATGACGATGGATCACCAGCCGATGATAAACAGAATTCTCGGGAAGACACCGTGATGACTCCGCCAGCCACCGACGTCGATGAACAGGCTGAACCGGAGGCGGATGAAATGGAAAGTCTGCCCGAGGAAGATGAAACCATGGCGGATTCTGTTGATCAACAGCAGGATGATGAGGCCGAGATCGAAGCCACCGATGCGGATGTCGAAGAGGAGGAAGAAGAGGAGGAGGAGGAGGAAGAGGATGTTTTTGAAGATGCGTACGAAGAGCAGGAGGTGGGCAAGGAGAAAGTGGAGCAGTCGGAAAAACGGTCACGGGTTCCCTCCATATCTGTGACCACGCCACCCGAAGAGCACGCTACGCCGGGCAAGAAACTTCTGCTAACATTGCTTAATGGGCAGAGACTTCAGGCAACCTCTACTCCGAGTACCAGGCAGGTCCAACAGCAGCAAAGGAGAACGCCCCAGCTAAACGGAAGCCTAGGCAGCTGCATTTCGCCCAGTGAGAAACTGGGGGATAATTCGGACATCTTCACCGTTTCCTCGGATGGACTGGATACCGATCTGGATCTGAGCAACACCCAGGCGGGCGATTCCCATGATCATTGTCCACACCAGACGACGCCGAAGCGCAAGTTTGACATCTCCAAGTACGCGCCACCGAATAATGGAAAGGCGGCGAGCAGTTGCGCCGCGGAAGCGGCCACGGCTGCGGTAAAATCACTGGCCATCTCGCAGTTTCTCAAGAAGGAGGTGCGTGTCACCTGCCGGCGGCTGAGGGCCCCATTCCGACGCTTTCGATACCGCCGTTGAGCACCTTGTGTCATCATTATCATCATCCAGATCAAGAAGCGCATCATTCAGCACCAATCACGTTTAGCTTTTAGTGTGTACAGCGACGATGAGTAATAAGTTTCAGTTTTTAGGTATTTTTAGGCCACAAATCCCTCCAAAACCACAAAAACAAAGCGATTTCAATTCGGACATCTTTTTAAAGTTATTTACTGATTAAATTTGGCGGAATGAGACATGAGACTTGAATGAATAACGTTGTACTCATTGGAAACTGCCAACATTGTCTTCGAAAGATTCCATTTGGACAAAGCTATTCCGACAAATTTAATCGTGTTAAGAAATGAGAAGATCCCAAAACATCCATCAACTAAATGTAGCATAATTTAAACTCACACACAAACCACACACGGAAATACGTACATAAGTCTTAGTTTAATCTTAGTTTAGCACAAATTCCCTGACCCCCAAAAACTCCTCATCAACAATTTCGGACTATTCCAAAATCTCTCATTTTCAATATAGCTTTTAAGTAGACAAGTTTCCATTTATCGTTTTTGTTTTTATCTGTGGAAATCACCTATTAAACTGTTTTCATTTTATTAGCCATGTACTATTATCAAGTCAACGCTCAAGCAAAGTAAGAAAAGGAAAAAGTAAACTATGTTACAGAGATAAATTAATTTAAACAAAAAACCAAAAGCAATTGTAAAAATATTAAAACAAAGAGTAAATTAAATTAAATATTCAATTAAACATATATCAGTTTTCATTTATTGAACAAAGCGAAAGGGATGAAATAATGAAGGTTGCTGAATTGATAAATGGATTTTATTCGCTTAGATATTTATTTTTGTGTTGGTAATATTTCCATTTAATTTTCATATTTAGTGGTAGTACTTTTTATAATTTGGACTCCAAAAAATGTTAAAAGGAACTTTTATTCGCTTTTATCTTATGACAAAAAGAGTTACAGTTTAGAACACTTTAGAACATTTTCCTATTAGCAAGTAAAATACGGAATAAAGCTCTTTTGAAGCTTAAATTTTCATTTGTGTATAGAATATATAGATCAAAATGAATACTTACTTATCAATCGAAGGCAAAAAGGCTCTGGTCAGTCGAATTAATTTCTTCTTTCAGAATGAAGCCAATTTAGAATATGCAATTTTGATCAGCAACCATTCATACTGCACCAATCACATACCCACGATCCAACATCCCCATTTCCCTGCTAATGACCACTTCTTTGATCCGATCCCATCCCCATTTAGACTTGCGCAAGCTCATCAAATATGAGGAACGTCTGGCGGAGAACGCAAAGGAGGGCAACTTCAGCGGCCTGCATAAACGTGGCACCGTCAGCTCGCGTGCCAAATTAAGTGGAGAGATGGATAAGGAGAATGCGGCACCATCATGTCCATGTTCGTCCGTCAAGGAGAAGGAGTCCAAGACTGACCAGGATGATGACGACCAGCAACGGCGTTCCGATGGTGGTGCTGGCTTTGCGGATTTAGCTCGTCTTTTTAAAGAGAAACTCCTGTTGGAAGCATCTGCGCCTCCGCCGGCGACTAAGGCATTAGTTCCTGAAACGTCTAAGGCAAACGGTAAACGTCGCAGTCGCAGCAAAACTCGCCAGGGAAACGAGTTCCCAATGTCCAGCTGCGAATCGGAAGGTAACGAAGACCGTCCGATCCAACGCCGTCGTCGCAGCAAGTCGCATCCTCGCAGTGCTGGTAATTAGTCGCCATTACGTCATTTAGATAGTTATTATTATGACAGCTTTTTCTCATTTTTAGTTCGTCGTCGTGGAAAATCCAAGCACTGCGATCCGGTGGCTTTGTTTCAGTACTACCAGAAGGAGTGGGCCCATTTCCGCGGCCAGATTCCCGGCGAAAATGTTCACGTGAATGGCCGCTTCGGGGTTCGCCACAAACCAATGGATCCAAAGAAGTGAAGATATATTTTCAATGCAGCTATTACTTACATAAACCCATACTTCGACCGATTCCGCTGTTCAACTGCAGTCATTATTCACATTTATTTATACTGTTTTCATTTTAGAAATCATTTTTATACACTAAACTTTAAAAACACTTCAGAATTCGAATAAAATAAATTTCTAAATTTGTGTTTAAGTTTACTCTTTATATTTTTTTTTTGTTAGGTAATTAGAGGAAATGGTTGAAAAATATACAAATCTTCGTATTAGCTTAGCATTAACTTAGCATTATTGCTTTATTATTTCAATTTTTAGGTAAGCTGTCAAAATTGTATTTAAAAATTATAATTTTCACTTTTTGTTGTGGGAAAGCAAGCTTTAAAACTGTTTTGAAAATGTTGGAGCGACGCCGAAAATCCCAGATGAGACTGGATCCCCTATTATCCATTCCAACTGGAACCACCACGATGCGAAGGACACGTCGAGTGTGCGTAAATATCGAAGCTAATGGCTCCGGGCCCCTTAGATCTCGAAGAAGACGAAGAAGGGATTTACTCAATACTTTCTTCATGACCTATCCTCCAGTTTATGACCCTATGCAGCTTGGTCATCCTTGGGGCTTTAATTTCTGTCCTAATGAATTGCCTAATGCTTATGGAAATTTATTTGATTTCCCTGACCGCTTAAATGCGGGAGAGCAGTATGAATATGATTCTCCTCCGACAGAAACAGGTCCCCAGATTGTTCATGAACTCAAGGATATTTTTATGGGGTTGGATAATTATTTGGAAGCGGAAAAGATCAAGCTGATGGAGAATGATCGAGAAAAGGCCAATTCCAGTGAGAATCTTGAAGACGAAAAACTGATTCCGAAGGAAAGCCAACTCTCAGTACTAACTGATATAATGTGTGATACCATTGACAGGTTAAACAACTATTTAGCTTCTCAATCGCAGAAACAGGAGTGTCCGTCTGCTCTTAACCAAATTAATCCGTTGGGAGGTAGAATACCACCTGTTCAGGTGTTGCAGCTACCAGTGCAACCGCTGATCCTTCAATCCATGCCTCCTTACCCATCGTGCAATTATTTTGCACCATCTGAATCCTGCTTACAAAAGAAATCCTCTGATCGATTGCCTTGGTTAAAGGAGAGAAAACGTAAACGTCCTTCTAGACCCGCTGCCTATATACACTTGCGGAATCAGGGAAGCAGTACTGATGATTTGGAAATGTTGCCAAAGATCTTGGAGGCATCAAATTCGGCGGGTAAAACCGAGAAGTTTTCAGTTCCCCTGCATTCCCAGAGTCAATTAATGAAGGACGCTGGCACAACCATGTGGTGCTCTATGGAATGTTGTAGGGAAAGTTGCGGAACGCTCAGGCGTGAGGAAGAATTGCCTTCTACTCCTTTGCAGAAAACTCTCCCAGAAGCTCCAATGTTACCGTTTTCCCTGTTACCAACTGTTGGTTATCCGCCACCGTGTATCAAGGCTCCACCACCAAGTATTAAATCAGAGGACGATTTGGATGATCAAGAAAGGTTCAATAATTCGACGGGTGAATCCATTCACCTACTTGGCTCCCCTCAAGCATCTAGTTACAGCTCAAGCTGCGATTACCGCCATCAAGGTGGAAATCTTAGATACTCCTATATTGAAGAGGAGGAAGAGGAGCAGGTGGATGACGATGACTGGTATCGAAGTGCTAGCAGTAAACTAGCTGAGTTAGAAGTGGAACAGGACTACTTCCAGCTAATGCAGAAGCAAAGGCAAATTACCAGTAAGGATCAAACACTTGAAACATATCTGGAGTCAACCAGTGAAAATAGTTTTATAAATGTTATTGCCACTACCGATAAGGCACTTAGTACTACGGAGCTCAATATGCAAAATACTGGAGAGCCTATACAAATTGAGAGGATTTGCAAGAAATCCTCCATGAAACAGCCAATCGGTATTTTAAATGGAAGCCGAAACAGAAATATTGCAGGCCATCATAAAGTCATGTTTGAAAAAGTCCAACAAACAGAAGGTGTGCAAGCTCAACCAGAAATGAGAACCATTGGCACGGATCCAGTTGAAAAAGAATCCCTTTCAACAATTCTTACAGATCAGAAGCTATTGAAGCCCAGAAGCAAGAGTAATCAGAAACGTAAAAGTGGAACGATAAAATATTAATTGAATTAAAGCAATCTTGTATTGTCTTTTCAAATTTTAAATTTAAAATTATATTTCTACATTTTTCGGTTCCGTTCCATGCAGGGGGGCTCGGGTCAAGACGTTGGTGGTTATGATCACTAAATGCCATTATGTTCTGTGAGGAGCCGACGCCAGAGCCGGAGAAGATCATCTGTCGCTGCAAGAACTGTGTGCTCCGGCACTCGGATGTCCTACCCTGGCCAGAGCCCCTGGGAATCATGGCTGAACGCGACGGCGATAAAGATGGCCTTACGAGTCGTCGAGTGTCAACCCGTACAATTCAGTCGGACGAAAGCGTCTACACCATGCGAGGTATCGATGATAAACAGAACACTCGTTACAAAGATCGTGCCAATATTCTTCGTTATGAGTCGGAGCCTGCCACTCCTACTCATCAAGCGGGCACTCCAATTATCAATCAGGCAACTACTCCTATTCACCATGTGACCAATAGTCCTGGCACATACGGGGGCAATACGCCAATGCGGGCTCCAACACAGGATCCCACACAGGCCCCCACACAGGCTCCAGCTCAGCCCACCATCCTGTTGATTGTGGTCAAGTAAATGATATCTTCGTTTTCTGTTCCAATGAGAAATATTGAATTTTCAGCAAGAACGATCCACCACCGTTTCCAGGCAGAGGGTATCCTGAGGCTGGAGCTGGTCAACGGCATCATGGCCAAGGACACCTAGGACCAGGACCGAGAGGCTTTCCAGGCGGACCGCCAGGGTAAGAAAAAAAGCATTAAATAATAATAAGCTTAATAGTCAATTTATTTAGTCATAAATATTGTGGAAACAAAACAAAGCTTAATAATCCACCAGTTAGTTATTACTATTACGGTTAGAAAAATGTATTTTCTAAATATTTTTCAGTTATTATCCACCACCTCCATCAGGAATTGCATCAAGGAGAAGATCAAGACCTAACTACGGGCATGAGAATGTTTGCTAGTAAGCTTTTAGATAAATATTTTACTGCAATTTTTTTTTTTTTGAGGATATTAAGATATTTTAAATGTTTGCTTAAGTATTCAAAAAAGTTATTTATGCTTTCTTATGATTTCCAATGGATTTTTAACTTTTTTTTCCCACAGTGACAGCCGCCGACATAGGTATGTACAAGATTTATTAATTTTGGCTATTAACTAAGTCCTGATCATCATCACAGCGAAGGCTATCGGAATAATCGATTTGGGTAGAGTAGCGTATCGAAGATTCTTAACGAACAATTTTTTGATTTGTTTATTTATAATATAGATACCAGGAGGATTGGAGGGGACAATCGAGAAGGTAATAAATTTCTCTGTTGTGCTAACATTTGTGTATAAAATCCTGAACCCTTCCAAGTTTAAGGCCCTACAATAATGTCTACGCCAATCAGCCATATATTAATCGTCATTCAGAAGACCGACGTAGTTGTCGATGTCCCAACTTGGAGAAGTCTCAACCGGGTAGTCCCCCAATTATCAAAGATACTGATGATCACAGTAACGATATACCTCGTGCAAGGAGTAACGAAAAGGGCAGGCAACGCCTCGTAGGAAGCGGAAACGGAAGGGGCCAGTCATGTTATTGTCAACAACCCGAATCGATGGGAGCTCATGGAAACGAACCAGAAGCACCTTCCAGAAATGATCCAAAAAGAGGGAATGATCGAGAAATGGAAATGGAAACTCCACCGAACACGATGGGACACATTTCGGAAATGGATAGCCCGCAGGAAGTGATTGTTACCGATGCCAATAACAAAACTTACAAATGCATACAGGTCGAGGATAAGATGTTTTTAGTAAACCCTATTTATGACTTATTTATATCTTTAACAGGTGCCCATTTGCATCTCCACTGGAAAGGCGAACACCTGTCGCTGTTGCAATTGCGCTCCCGCTCCGGAGCCTGACGAAGAGGAGTTCGTCGACGAGGAGGCGGAGTGCACCTGCAACCGACAGGGCAAATGCACCTGTGTTCCCGGCCAAATGTTCAACGATGAGTTCGGCTGCGAGTGTGATCTCACCAATTTGGAGCGTACTCTGCGGGATCTCATACCCAATGCCGATTGTATATGCTACTTGAAGAAGAAACGTCGCAAACGACGCAAGAAATGGGCTCCGAAAGTCTACTACGATCGTTTTGCAAATCCCCCGTTTGTCCTTAATCCGAAACCCAGATGTTTAGACTACGGCATCCGAACTTACTGCAATCCCTGCTGTAATCCCTGCTGCTGTGCACCAGTGGGAAAGAGCTGCTACACCTGTGACTATGGCTGTGGAGGGTGTTGTAGGTGCTAAATATCCGATAGTATCAAAAGCAAATCATCCTGATATATTTAAGATATTCTTTAAAAATCCTCTATATTCTCAGAGAACGCCAGAAAACTACTCACTAGAAGTTTTCTGGCCTTAGCTGACTGTTATTGAGGATCTCACATGATTATATTAGCAAGATAACCCGATAATGATGTAAATCAAATAACATATTTTGAACACAAATAAACACATACAATGTTCTAATAATTCTTATAATTTATTTATAAGGTTTTCTTATGTACAAGCATGTCGCATAGAATTTTAAACTTTAACTTAGGAAAGATCCCATAAATCTTAAACTAATTTTTTTTGGATCTTTACTTTTCCGAAACCCAGAAATCAAGTGTTGTTTATTTTTAACTGTCAAATTTAACCAGCAATGTTACTGAACCTCAGCTGTCTTTCCTAAATTGCATTCCTTTAAGATGGCTGGCTTAAACAGAAGGCTGCGCACCGCCCAGCAAATCCTCCTGCGACGAGCTCTCAACAAAAGCGTTGGCAGATGCCATGTTGCCACCGGATTGGTCCCGAGCAAGGGTGACATCGTGGACTCTCCATCTGTGATCACAGAACTCCAACCTGTCAATCCAGTTAGGGAGAGATCCTCGTCCAGAGCGGTGAGAAAAATCCACAGGTTTTTGGCAGCCAATCCCTTGAGGATTTTGCAAGAGAGGAAGGCGGAAAGAAAACTGCCAGGATGTGAGCTGCAGAGGAAGGACTCTCGTTCATGGAGGAAACTGAAACCAAGTGGTATTGCCTAACACACAGAATCATAGCTGCGTTTAATGTCCATTTATATTGTTTTCTTTCTAGAGCAAAACCCAACCGTTAGTGGTCACAGTCTCAAACTCAATGGCAGGGACAGCACTAGATCTCGGCATAGTTCCTCCACTTATCCTTCTACCTGGCAGCTAAATGTAAGTAGGGCCAAAGAGATATTTCAAGATAATTCTCAAGGATCTCTAGAGGAGATTCTCAATTGTTCGATTCTCAATCGAACGCCCTATGATCACAAGCTTAGTATTCCCCTCAAGTCGGACAATTCCTGCCAATGCACAATCAATAAGAAATCACGACGAAGGGGTAGAAAAACAAAAGGATTTGCTGAGGCTCAGACCCAAACAACGAGAGAAATCGGAAGCAAATTAAGGACTCTTACAGATGAAAGAAATTTTCACGGAAAAAGCTGTGATTTAAGTGTGGAATTCCAGAAATTAAGACAGAGGGTGTACAGCGGCGAGGATGTAAGTCTAGATCGAAAGATATGTATATCGCCATCGAAAACAAGCGCCATATCTAAGGCCACTTTTAAGTGTGAAAAAACTTGCCCTGGAAAATCCTACAAAAATTATGGCGGCTACAGCCCTTCGGAAACGGATATTGAAACCGAAGCTGAACACAACACGAAGTTCGAAAGTCGTTCTGATTATCTAAATAAAATAGAGAAGATCAGCAAACCACCTTCAAATGCTGATATGAAGAGAAGCCATCAATATATTTCCCAAGATAGTCGAGAAAACGAGCCTATTAATCTGGCTAAGTATGAAGACCAAAATTATGAAATTCAGAGAAAGAACCTAAAATGTTTATGTAAAAAGGCACAGAAAAGAGACAGCCTAGACAAAAGTGGTAGAGCTCAGGATACTAAATGCATAGGACATTGTAGCAACTCCATATGTACCTCGAAGGAATCACTCAAAGGTACGAAAGTGCAACAGTATCTGGGCAGAAGCATTCCTGAAAACGGACGCATAAATCAACCAAACTTTCAAGATAGTGATCAAAAAATTCAAAGAAAACACCTCAATTGTTTTTGCACGATAACACTGAAAAAAGATAACCCAGCTAGAAGTGTAAATAAATCATTTGATTCTCTAAAAGGACATCTAATAAAAACGGATGCAGTCAGAAGCAGCTGTAGAAGAAATGAGGAAAAAATACCTTCACAGGACAGCTTATTATCGGCTGATAAATTTGTTAATGAAGGTAGTGAAGATAATTTTAGCCAAGGTAAGTTTAGGGCTCACATTGATTATCAAAATAGCGAAAGAAATTATAGAACAACCCCTCCAAATGTTTATCATTCTTACAAATATACAACTAATTCCGATGATTCAGATAATCTAGGAACAAAACAGATGGATCAACACCGTTACAATCAAATCAGGAAACTCCAATCTCCGGATTTAGGGCAAGGTATAATGTTCTAGACATAATTTAAACGAGAGCTAGACTAACCCATTTATTTTACACAGTTGGAGTCCCAAGACGATATCCTTATACAAGCAATCGATGTTTCAGGATTCAGGAATCACGTTCGGGATCTTTGGAAAAGGAAAATGAAAGGAAAGCAGCTCGTGAAAAAAATAGTGGTGTTGTTATTTGCGCAGAGGCCATTACACAGACTTCTGAATATTTGTTGGCAACGTTAATACCTGGAAGCATAGACAACTCTCAGGGAACGCCTTTTAAAGAGTTGAATCACCGGCTAACGAATTCAGTAAAAGCAATCATTGGACAGTCCAATCAAGATAACTTCAAGCAAGTTAAATCAGATAAAGCAGATTTAAAGTCCCAACAAAACCAAGTAACTCCCTACCAAGTACAATGTAAACCATTAGAACAAGTACAATCCGAATCACAAATAATTTATTCCGACAAAGCGCAATACCAACTAATAAGATCTAGCTCAGTAAAGCTAAAAACAGCCCCAGAGATTGCTCCAAAAACTAAAAAGGCAATCCATACACGGACACGAAAGTGTAGTCAAAAAAGATCTGCTACTTCTGAAAAAACTAAAAAACAGAAATCCAAGAATCGTGAATGCAAATCAGTTGATAAGGATCAAAATTTAATTGGAGGTATGTCTAATAGTGACAAGAGTGATGTTTGGGAAATATTAAATGTTTTGCAAAAAACTGTGGCTGGGCTGGAAAAACAAATAAATATAAAAAAAAAATTATCTAAAGGTACGAAATCCAAATACAATTCCAGCAAAAGATATGCCCAACTAAACGAGATTCAAAATCGATATGTTAATCAATCCCCTACACAAACTGTCCCTGACTGTTTATATTCGGAACAAAACCCAACTGCTCTGCCTTTGGGTACTTTTCAAGAACAACCAAATGTTGGTAAAATAGATCTGGCTAAGGTTGCAAGACCAACAATTGTATATCAAACTACTGCTTATAGAACAACAGAACATGTCAATGCTGGAAACCCTACAAATATGTATAAAACTAGTTCTGTTACAAATTTTTCAAGTCCAATTATTTATCAAAACAACACAATTCCAAGAGTCAAAGATCAGGTGCCTTATAAAGAGGAGGGAGTTACCAAAGAAACTGAATATGATTATCATAACCAGGAACCCTCTCACAAACCCATTAGATACATAGATGATAACCATGAAAAAATTACTTACTGTATAAATCCTCAATGCAATAGGAATAATCATCAAATGGAAGTCTACCAAAAGAGTGCCTACGCAAAAACACCACTATTGGATTCAGCATATAATCAGGTTTTGAAGCATACAACCAATTCAGGAGGGCAGAATCAAAAGGAAGTATGCAAAGGCCCAAAGTATTGTCCATATCGAAGTCAGTACAGAGCTGACCATGGTCCTACAAGTCGAGGAGTAGTTACTTTTCAAGACTGCGAAAAAATGGGTACAGAGAGGTCTAGATTAGAATCTTTTTGTGATCAAAGGCATGGACAACTACTAAAGGGTGGCACGGCTTGGGACTTTTGCGAAAATCCACATTGCCCAGAAAATAACACATTTAAAAATGATTCAACTAGAATTGAGAGAAAACCATTTGGTCAAGAATTAAGAGGTTCTCCGCGGGACAATCCAAATTGTCCACACAATGAATTAGTTTCCAAGACATTCACGTATAATCATCAGAAAGAACCATTATACGAAGAAGAACTTCATGAATGTCCTGGAAGCCTTTGCCAAAGGGAATCCGAAGAAGATTCCAGTTGTTTAGACAGTCAAGAATGTTTTGATAGTCACGCTTATAATAATCGGTCTTATCCAAGACAAGGGTGTACACCAAACTGCCTCACTAGACCAAAGTCTTTAAATCAAGATGATAAAAGGCAAGTATATCATCAAAGAGGAGAAGGCAAAGTCCTAAGAACTAAGAATAATCCGAAATCATGTCGAGTAACAAATGAGAACAGTCCTCAATGCCCTGAAAAAATAACAAAGAAACATGAAAGACCAAGACAAGATTACCAAAACGACCATAATGACGATTATATTGAAAATGCCATTTTTCCCGAGAAAAACACAAGGTATACAAACGGGGCACGAACTAATGCCGATAATTCTCCAAGACTTCGCTCGAAAGGACAGCCAATAGTTGGTGGCAACGATTCATGCCCTGAAGATTGTCCTAATTTAGGCTCTTTTACCCATATAAATAATCGATATAAACAATTAGGTTCGGAAATTTGCGATAGTTCCAGATGTCCAAAAAAATTTGAAAGGCTTTCCAATAAAGATCCACAAAGTCTCGAAAAAAGAATAAGGTGTAGAAGTCAAAGGTATGAAGCTGATTACAAAGTTTGTGAGTCCGGTAACTGTTCCGATAGAAGACGAATGATAGAGGATCAAAATAAGTATTCAACTTACGCAGATACTTCATATAGAGTCGAACCTAAAAGAAAATATAATAAGCAGTTGTGTAAGAATCCAAAATGTCATGATAAAAAGGGTATATATGGATATACGGACAGAGGCCGCTGTGAAAGAAACTCCTTGTACAAGAAAGGAGCATCAATCGCTCAAAGAAGCATTCCAAATGATGTATCTTATGATCCAGAACATTTCGAGGAAGATCCAGACTCTTGTACGGAAGATTGTTATAATCGCAAAAGATATCATTATATCAACGATAGAAATAATTGTACAAAACAAGAAACTAATGATTTTGAAGACTTTGTTAATCCGAAATGCTCAGGTAGATTAAAGCAACCTACTAATTATAAAGACAATCGACATGAAATGAAGTGCTGTGAGAATCAAGATTTTCCCGATAAACTAAACGGACATGGATGTCCTGCATATACCTCTTATAGAGGGTACACTGAAAGAAAATCAAAAACAAATAAAAATAAATCAATAGATCAAGACTTATGCTCTGCAGATTGTCCTAATCGGCGTAGAGTTCTATTCACCGATCTTCTTCGATTCAAAAGGAAACAATCCAATCCAAGTCGGCAAAGCAGTGGAAGATCAGAAGTATATGTTGATAATAGGTTCGTATCAAGTGCCTGCAATAAATGTAAGCGATATGTACCTCTTGAAAGCGATCGTCTGGCGATCAAGAAATATTGTGATCCCTGTAACACCAAAGGAAAAAGAAAGACCGGATCTGTAGAAAGCATAGTATTATGTATTAGGCCTGGTAGACAATCACCTATATTTGTTAAAAATAGGGATAATCCCCTTTTGACGAACCCGGTTTTCAATAGCTACGAAAAACATATTTTGGAACATTTTGACAAACTCCAAGGAGAGAAAAATAAACTTCGGAAATGTTCCGAAGACTGCCCTTTTATTGGTAATATAGAAGAAAAGAACGCTTCAAAGAAACGCTCGTCCGGCTCTAGAGACAAAATTGATATACTGTGTTATTGTCAAAGTGAAGAACTTATAGAACATGAAGATTCAAAAAAAAAGAAGTCTAAAATTTCATTCTTAAATTGTGAAAAATCGGCGAAAGATGAAAGTAAATCAAAAACAAATTTAACGCCACCTCCACAACAGGAGGAATCCAAGCCTAAGAGAGATAATAAATCGAGTGAATTTAGCTGCTTTAAACCAAAGGATAAATATCCCCAAGAAATGTCGAAGCCAAGAGAAAAACCGCCCTCAAAATCGAATAAAAAGAAATCAAAATCTAGTGGATTTCTGTGTTTTAAAAAAACCGAAAAGCCTCCTCAGGAAAACCAACCCAAAATACAGAAAAAATCACAGAATGAGATTATGGAAAAACCTTCAGGTACAGGTGTTCGATACAGAAAAGAATCTGCTAAGAAAAATAATGATAAAATTCAAGTAAAAGACGCAAGTAAGAAATCCTTGTCGCGTAGCGTATTTATCAGTTGGTGCAGAAAATCACAAACTCCGAAGGAGTCTAGTCGAAAAGAAGAGAAAGCTTTCTCTGATATAGATTGCACCTGTAGTAAAGATCCCGAAACCGAAGATATACCCATGCCTAGATCTGAAGTTCCCTTCCGCTGTCCATGTGCTCCCGAAAATATCAATGACGACGAGGTGAAAGTCCTCTATGACTCTAGTTTCCGTTTCCAAAAAGAAAGTTGCAGCTGTGCCGAAGTTCCGAAAAATATATACTGCCATAATAGTCCACAACAACCTGAGCCAGATACTTCAGATTGGTATGAATCATCTCGCCAACAGTTTTATCAGGATCAGGATCAGGATATCAAATACTGTCCATGTGCCAGTGCCAATGATTTCTATAAAATTTTAAGGTAAATATGATTGGGATTTTCCTCGAAAATACCTACATTTTTGCACAAACTCCCAATCATAATTACCCAAAGTAGGCAATTTAAATTAATGCAAAACTTACCTTTAAATCCAATAAAAAATGTGAATCGAAAACTTTACGTTTAACAAAAATTTTAACTCAACCTTTAATTATTCCGTAACAAACAAATTTCTAGAAAAACAAAAACCGTTTTCCATTTCCCCTGTATTAATTTTTATCACTCATATTGAATTTTTATTCTTTTTAAATCCGTTTTAAAAGCCGTTAATTTCTATTTATTTTAAATTGGTAAAAATTGTTTGGTTTTTTATTATTAGTCCAAACAATTAAATTATTAACCAAAAAGGTTACCTCCGCCAAAGCCACCGCCGAAACCACCGAAGATTTCCTGTTGCTGCTGTTGTCCATATCCGCCGAAACTGCTCTGCTGTTGCTGAAGTCCGGTACCAATTCCGTATCCAAATCCCCCGAAATTTTCTTGCTGTTGCTGCTGCTGTCCAAATCCAAACTGGGGTCGCGCCGATGCAATCGCAAACAGAACAAACAAACAGGCAATCTAAAGTCGTAATGGAGTTTAAATAAGTTTAAAAAGATTTATTAAAGTTGATCAGGACTTACCAAAAAATTCATTCTGGTACTGTTATTAGCTCGCAATTTCAAAATCCGACTATATGAATTATCTTTGAAGGTTTACTGGCAACTGAGCTCGTTTTCATCGGGTCTTGCTATTTATAGTATGTGTTTGCCCACTTAAAAGGTTTAGGGGTATTTTACCTGCGAATACAATTTCCAAGAAAATATCTATGAAAAGAAAATGTATTGCCATTTCTACCTAAGATTATTGATATGCAGAAAGGCAGGTATAAAAACGGATGTCTTAACTCAAAATACCTCGTTTTGAAAGAAAAGAAAATGTGAAGGTTGGTTACTTCATACTATTTAACACAAACACATTTTTTTTCTAAAGTACAGTACCAGTTGATTCAACTTTTATTTGATTATAAGCAGTACTTAATCGCTTATTGAAATCACAATGTCTATAATTAGTCAAGTATCGTTAAAAAATTGTATAATACAAATGAATCCAAAGATTTATTTATCTATAGAGGAGAACTCTTTAGGTTGGTCCATATGCTCAATTTTTTCAGCTTAACATATTCTTTTGGTCTTTTTTTTTTGAAATGCTAAAAATATAGAAAAATTGTTTGAAACAAAGCTTAAGTCAGATTTTTGATATGATAGTCGACCATTGTTATGAAAAAAAAAATGTTTTCTTCGTTTTTTTTTAAATTTAAAAAAAAAAAAACTGTTTAGTTTTAAAAATATTTTAAAGTTGTCCGTTATTTGGTATAACCCTTTCGCTTGAGGTCTTGAAGTGTTTTCACCACATTAGTTTTTTCCACCTTGAGTTTTGGTATTTCTCGAATTTCCAGATGCGTTCACACTGAAGCACGCTGCCGGAAAATGTTGCAAAATATTTTGAATAGATCTAGGCAGGTGCTATATCCCGTGGCCAGGACTTTCGGTCGGAGCAGCAACCAAGGTCAAGCAGTGTCGTCCGAATCCCCAGCTGTGGTGACCGCTCCTCTGACAACGAAATCCCCTCTGATTCTGCCCCAAGATTACACGGACTACGCACCGGTGAGCAGGAGCACGGCCCGGCAGGCGTGGATCGAGAATACGGATGCGGTGGCAGAGCGGAAGATCGGTCTGATTGAACTGCATCCGGATGTGTTTGCCGCCCAGCCACGGATGGACATCATCCAGGAGAATGTGGAGTGGCAGCGCAAGTATCGTTATGTAAGCATGGCGCACACGAAAACACGGGCGGAGGTGCGCGGCGGCGGTCGGAAGCCGTGGCCCCAAAAGGGAGGAGGACGTGCCCGTCACGGATCCCTCCGCTCGCCCATGCTCAAGGGCGGCGGCGTGGTCCACGGCCCCAGATCGCCCACCACCCACTTCTACATGCTGCCCTTCTTCAAGAGGGTTTTGGGACTGACTTCCACGTTGAGCGTTAAGCTGGCCCAGGATGATCTGCACATCGTCGAGAACGTGGACATACCCACCGGGGATGCCGAGTTCCTCAAGGATCTGATCGCCGAACGAAACTGGGGACCCTCTGTCTTGATTGTGGATGAGTGAGTATTGCGAAAGGGGGAATATAAAACTATATTAACAGATGGTACAAGTCCTTTTGTAATTTAACAGGTTCTTAAACTCTTAAATGTTGCTCAATAGCTTTTATATAAAACCTACCTAAGTACTGATGAGGAATATTGAACAGCTAATATTCAAATCTAATTTCAAAAACAAACAGCTCTATTTTATCATCTTTGACGATTAATTATGTTTAATAGCTTTATTCATATATTTTTCATCGTATCCAGAGACCACATGTTCCCCGCCAATATAAGCCAGGCCAGCGATGATCTGGGCTATGTCAACCTGATGCCATCCTTTGGCCTGAACGTGTATTCCATGCTAAAGCACGACACCCTGGTGCTGACGGTGGCGGCAGTGAAGCATTTAGAGCAGCGCCTCCTATACCAACTCCATCGCAACGATGCCGCCAGCAAGGGCGGAAAGTTCAAGCTGGATCAAGTTTAGAGGCTAAGAAAGTTAAATCCTTTAGTTTATTTGTAATCTTTACGGATGCCAGAAAATGCATTGTTAAACGATAAAAGAATTTTTTAGTTCACCTGATCTTTGTTAATAGTTTGCTTGTAAAAATAATTTATGGGTAAATATTAAAGGTTTTGTTTTTAGTGGGAATTTAAATTTATAAATGAGTGTGAGGCCTTGGAAATAGAAGAATTCACTGACGTATATTTAAAGTTGACAACCAACTGAACTTGGCATCTCTCCATAGATATAAAACGTAAATTTTCTATCTCAGTTCCGTTTATGATTGGTAATAAAAGATCAAAAAAGTTTGTGTAGGTTCCGTTCAGAGTCCCTTACAATTTTCGCTGTGTTTTTTAAAGAAATGCTTCAGTTTATTGTTTGTAGCAGTCAACAAAAATGCTTTCTTCCTTATTTAAGTCCCTTGCCACGGTGACTAAAGGATCCTTATCCGCATCAGCTACCAGGATCTCACAAGCTCCATTGAGGGATTCCTCCAGTTTAGGGGAGAAAACCTTGAGAAAACCCCTCTCAGAATTGCTGTGATTGCAGAGCAGCACGGTGGTATTATTGTGGGTGAAGTCCAGCAGTTCGTGGTGCGACATTTCACCGGTGATAATGAGATCCGCTTGAATGCCTTTTAGCAGGGATCCTCCAGAGCCGGCACAAATGCCCACGGATTGGATTAGGGTCTTGGGATGGTGATTCACAGCGAGAGCGATGTGCACGCTATTCTCGGTGTGCTTTTGCAGTGATTCCAGCAGCTGGTAGAGCTCCATTTTCGTCTCTATGTATCTGCCGGATCCTGTTCCCGGTGGAGCGTTCAGTTCCGGTTCCAGAGGACGAATACTGCCGATATCCACTGCCTGGGATAGCCAATCGTTGACGCCACCACAAGCTTTATCCCACGCCGTATGTGGAGAGTACAATGCTATATCGTTTGCCAAACAAGCGGCCACCACGCGTTCCTTCCAATGCGCCTGCGTAATCCTTGTCAGGGGCTTGAAAATTGGCGGATGATAGCTGATAATTAGCTGCACATCCTTCCCCAACGCCTCGCTCATCACCGGTTCGGTTAAATCATTGGTTAATAGTATTTTCTTTACTAATTTTTCGCGATGTGGTTCAATCAGGAGACCCACGTTGTCCCACTTCTCCGCCCACGAAATCGGGGCAAAGTTCTCCAGCTCCTTGACCACTGTCGCCAGTTTTTGACCATTATAAGTGCTCATCCTTCTTAGCATGCCTTGTCGTACTTTTATTTGTTAAATATTATAAATTGTTCCGAAAATATGAAGAACCTAATGCAACAATCTCTTATTTTGAAGTTTGGTCCTGCCAACCTAGTTTCAGTTGCTGTTACGTTTTGGCTCAATCCGTAACAGCTGTTATTTATTACGGGCTGACATCGTTACGTAGTTTGTTATGGCGCGGTTTTTAAAAGCAACCTAATATTCTTAAATAACTTTTTCTTTTCTTATTAAAAAGTTTAACATTCAACAAAAAAAGACTGCATACATTGCTGCAGTTCAAGATTTTACTTCGGTATTCGATAGGCAAAACAGTACATTTTAGAAATTCTTATGTTTTTTTTTTTTATTTTTTAATTAGACTCTCTAAGCTTAAGTATAAAAAATGTACAGGTCAAGTCACGGTCACAGCTGCTAAGGCTATCGCCTTTTCTATATACATATTTAGGAACACATACATTTTACCCTTATCATAATTTCTTAGAAAACGACATTTTTAAAATGTAAGATTTATTATGAGAAAAAACCAAAGTAAGCCACAAAGAAATTTCAAATGATTTATTGATAACAGTTTCAAAGAGTATATAAAGGCATGAATACATTTAATTTTCAATTATTCAGTTTTGTTTGTCCAATTAAGCAGGTTACATTACTTACTCGTAAGTTGCTATACCATTTACCTGATATTTACTTTTGTAAAGTATAAGACTGTAAAGAATGTGTCTTTTTGATAATGAGTAGGAAAATCGTGTTCTATTACTTAACAATTTGTGGTAAACAAACAAAACATTTAACTTACAAAAGCGTATGTAAGTCAAATCGGTCAGAGAATGTTTAACTTAGTTGAGCTACTAAATTCCGGCGGACTTTTGCAATATTAAATCCTTACTTTGTTTCACTTTTTGGCTTAAAATTTGCACAAGAATTTTAAATCTCTTATTTTTTTAATTTTTTTTTTTAAATTCAATTCTTTTAGGGAAATTATGTTAAATGCTTATCATTAAAAAGTTTTCTAGAAATCAAAATATCCAAATATACAGTTCCATGACTCGTATTGAAATGAATGAACGTATAAGCCCAAAAGTAAGACAATCATTTAATTTATTAGTCAGCACGATTCTAGTAAACTTATCAAATATTTGTTGTTAAAAAACATACAGTTTTAAATTCAGAAAAGTAAAATACATGGCTGACACTAAGTATCCATAAGGAACATAAAAGCTTTCTTACTTGAAACGTAAATTTTTAAGGTACCTTAAAGATATTTATTTTGCGATAAAAGAAAAAAATACCTTATGCATGACAAACACAGCAAACCTATGAAAAAGCTTAAGGGGAAACAAAAATTAGTGAAACATAAATAATGGGGAGTTCCCTTATATACATAGATCCCATGATGATTAAGACCTTAATATTTGTGACTTAATTTAAAAAAAAAAACTTTAAATGATTTTGCAAATTTAAAACGCGTGACAAACACAAAACTCGAGTAAATTTAATAGCGGTGATAACCTATACAGCAAGGTGCCAATCATTTTAAGAAAAGCATATTAATATTACCCAGAATGTATGTATGTACATAACTAAACTGTAAACTGTAAAACTTAAAAGCACTGAAAACCGCTGAGCTTGATTGAAATTTAACCAAAACCAAAATTTCGCTACACAATTATTCTAGGAAACGGTACTCCTAATCAGTACTAATTGGTAAAAACCTTTATATTTGGACTTTCCTTTTTTTAAAAAGCACATTTGCATGTACATGCGTATGCGTATTTTAAGATAACAACTGGAAAACAATTTTTAAAACCACTTGAAATTCCAAAAAAAAAAATTACAAGATTATTAAATTGCAATTTAAACCCCAAAACGAAATAATACGGACGAGCACAAAAATCTCCGTAAGTGCTAGGAATAAAACTAAACCGCAGATTCCAAATTCTTATTTTTTGGTTTCCTAAATGTATGTATTATTTGTTATAATTCTTGTGACCGTATTTATAAACTTTTATAAAAACCCTTTTATTTTTAAATACTTAAATTATATTTAATGATTTAGCACTAATGAAGTGTGATTAAATATTTAAAAAACCCAAGAGGTGGCGCCATGACAAATCAATCGCAAACACAAACTCAGTCGAGATGCTGTGTGATGCCATTGCCATGTGAAGAACCGAAAGATTGGGAAACCAGGTAGAAATACTCGAGAATACAGATTCCGATTTTAAATTCCAGAGAGTATCCTGCGCAGCTGAGGCGAAACCATTTCCGCTCGGTCACCTAAAAACGAGTGTTTTCCCGATGTTTGTTGGCCCCGTCGCCATACGCATTTTGCCCACAGAGCACTGAGCATCGCTCTGTAGAACTCACCGATCAGCAAGTAAAAGTACAAATATATTTAACGCTACTGTTGTTGCCTTTGTTGCTGCTTCTGTTGTTGTTGTGCGATTTGAACTTGGCGCTTAGCTGGAGGTCCGGCAACCCTGTTGCGGCTCTCTCTTGGAGCGCTCTTCCACACACTCACACATTTCCTCTCCAAACGAAACGGGAACTCACCCATACAGTTTGAAACTGGGGAGCTCCCATACAGCTCAACAATATTGTTTTGATACTATATAAAGACTATGTACTTATCGTTATAACTGGCTCCCCCGACGTCAATCTGAATCGCAACTTGAAAGAAACAAGACGTGCACGGCTACTATGCGAATTAAAGAATTACAAATCAACTTGAGTTAAATACAAAAAAAAAAACAACGTGTGTTGAAGCAAACTGTGCAAGGCAATATTAACCAGCAAGGTAGTGAGAAAATATTAAAAATATTGCCTTAATTTAAAACAAAGAACCTAAAAAAAGAAATAGAAATAAAAGGAAGCTGTGTGAAAAGAGAGATTAAAAAATCTCCTATGTGCGTGTGTGTTTGTGTGCGGGTGAAACAAACGTGAAAAGGCAATTGAATGTACATAAATCAAAATGGAAAACCAACATTAAACTGACCAGTGAAACCTTAATTTTTATGGTTCTGTGGCTACACTTGTAAATAAAATTATAAATTGCTTTAATCTAAAAAATTATTGCGTTTTCACATGTTCGCTTAAGTCTATATGTTTGTTTCACTCGCACTTGGAGCAGTTACGTGTGAGCGATTACTGTGTGTGTGTGAGAGAGACTGAGCTCAAAGCAAAGTTCAAAACGACAAATATATATGTACATAACATATATATATTTGCAGCCCAACTGAGAGAGTCCGGAAAAGCACGAAAATGTGGAGCCCAACAAAAGCAGAGGAGGCAGCAACAAAGGCAACAGCAACAAGTGACTGCAGCTGCAGCGCTGCCAGTGTTGAGCAGCGTGCCTCCCCAAACGCAGCTAACCCCTCACCTTCACTACCCCCTAGCGGTAAATTTGGCGGCAAAACACAAGATCAAACGGCCGCCATTAACGAGCAAAAGGAATTTGCCGTGCCAAACGAGACCAGTGATTCGGGATTCATTTCCGGCCCCCAATCCTCGCAGATCTTCAGCGAGGAGATAACCCCCGAGTCCGAAGAACAGCAGGATCCGGAGGATAAGGTTCAGAAGGATTCGGAACCCCAAAAGGCAGAAAACGTTATCCTCGATTCCGGCATTATCGACGAGGAGGACGATCAGGAAAAGGATAAGGAGGAGCACCAGGACACCAGCAGCGCCGATCCAATGCGACTCAAAAGCAGCGCGGACACAGGCATCCCACAATGGACAGTCGAAAGCAATTTGGCCGGTCGCGGCGAACAGCTCAACAATCTTGGCCTGAGCAGCAAGGTCCAATCCTCCACAGTAACAAACACAGCCACCACCAAGAATCCGAATCCCACGGGATCAGGAGCAACTTCATCCGCTCCTCCCAGCAGCATTAGCATCATGAACGCCTGGGAGCAGTTCTACCAGCAAAACGACGACGGCGACACGTAAGTACACATAACTTTTGAGGGAATTTAGTAGGAGAACTTTAGAACTTTAAATTTAAAAGAATTATATATTTATATTTCTCAACTTGCGGAAAATATTGAAAAATAGTTAAAAACTAACTAGATTTAGGGCTACGAGTGATGTCTTTGCTTTGCAATAAAATCCGTTTATATAAGTTAAAACTGCGACTTACTGAAACCTTTAATTTGGGAAATTTCAGGAGTATGATTTAAAGCCTATTAGCGATTGTTTATCTCATTTAAATTTCAAATGACAGTAATGAACCTTTTCGAATTACAATAATCTTAAAAACGTATGCTAATATACTTAGAAAAATGGATTTTTTATTTTTGCACTTGGGGCCAACCAAGCGTTTATATTTAGACAGTTATAAAAAGCAAACATGCTTTGAATAAACCACATCATGCAAATACACATTGAACAAGAATTGTTACTTAATGAAGTCCAGCTAATATACATAAATTAAGTTAATGACAACCTAAACAAGATAGACTTTAAGTAAAGTATGCATTTATTTAGGAGAAATTCACAACTGCTATAATGACTATACTTCCTTAAAATTGACTGCAATAGCACAGCCTTTGAATCATTGCTAAGTTTCTTTGAACTTATACGTGCTGTATTTCCGATGAGAATTTCAAAATTTCCCAAAATAACAAAGACACCGCGACACTGCACTGACCACCAAGTGAGCAAAGGGGAGAGTTTCGTGAATCATTCAAAGACCAATGTCAGAGGCGAGAAACGCGACTGACACATGTGTTTTAGTCAGGCTTCGGGGTTTTCCTGGTATGTGGGCAGGTACGGGAACAGGTTTTCGGGGCACCTCTTCTTTCTTCACCTTACTTTACCTTAAGTTAACTTACTTGGGTTTTTACGCCGCCACATGACCGGCGACAAGTGTGCAGGAAGGGAAGAAAGTGCGGGTGCAAAGAGGCAGGTAAATAAACTCACAAATTCATTATATATCTTTTGCTCTGGATCTTCTTTCAGACCTCTGCACCTGGCTTGTATTTCGGGATCCGTGGACGTGGTTGCCGCCTTAATTCGCATGGCCCCGCATCCGTGCCTGCTGAACATCCAGAACGATGTGGCCCAAACTCCCCTTCACCTGGCCG